ACTTCAAGTCAAGCTGCAGGATGCATGAAGTGAAAGTGTCCCCCATTGTGACTTGTTACTGCAAAAGAATCATCACACGCCTTCAGCTGCAGCCTTGTGGCACTTAGACACACCAGGTGACCCAAATGTGGCATCCTCTTGCTCTATGACTATGCCAGGTGGGGGGGGAGTTTCTGAGATTTCCAGCGGTGTGGCAGCCCCTCAGGAGGGCTGACCTGCCTTCTTTCTGATAAATTATAAGCTGTTCTCCTCCTGCAAGATCATAAAGGCATGGGATGAAAAGTGCCGGGAGAGGTCCATCAGGAGGCTACTTGTGGTTTTTCCTCTAAAAAAAGATGTGAAGTTTGGAAGAACTAAAGCTCCTCCTAATATTTCTACTTTTGGGTGGGCTAGAGAAGAACAATGGACCGGATTCCATGCTGGGGACAACAATCTAATTATCTGGCCTGTGCGAAGGAAAGCTGCCGTCGCCCCTGCAAAGAGCTCCCAGGATCACAGGTAGCCAGCAGCCAGCATCCGTCCCAGACGACCCCAAGTCCCAGCCACCCAGGGCCGGTTCCCTCCCCTCTCCCCACACACACGTCCCTTCTGACACCTTCCTCCAGTCTCTCCAAGGTCGCTCTCTGTGGCACCTGCCACAGTGGACTCTGACATGTGGGGCTCTTACCTGAGCCCCTCTGCCTCCTGCTTCTCATGTCCCTCCACTCGGACAATGCTCTCAGACGCAGCCACTAGCCTGCGTGAAGTTGAACGAGGGACCAGAGAAGATCCCTAGTTAATATCTCAAAAAAATATCGTGCCACCACACAACATATCCCAACTTCAACATCCCTTTGGCCAAAAATGATCATTATCTTATCTTCACACTCTGCCCATCTCCTTCCCATTTCATGGTACTCATGTTCAGTCACCCAGGTCATTTCCTACCACACCCTCCCCACCAATGACACCGTCTCTCAATCTCTCACACTGCTGAGTTTGTTTCATCAGAAACCACAACTGGTGGTCCTTAGACACTTCTCTGGAAAAATACCATTTTACACAAAAAAAGATTCTCTTCCCCCCAAAAGGCTGATTAAATAAACACGAACAACTGAGAAGTCACTCGGATATATAGGTCAGTTAGCGAGTCACAACTGGAAACAAATAGGATATGCTTAAAAGGATGCCTGAGAGCCATTTTTCCAAATCACACTGGTTCTTTAAAGTAACTTAGATTATACGAGCGAAAAGCATGCTCATTAGCAAAACCTAAATCAAGGCCGATGTAATTATATGGGTAACAGCTCGGTCTGAACACCTCAAGCTGCCTTGATAAGTGTCTCCGTCAGCTGGAAATGGGGGGGTGGTGGTGCAGGGCCGTGAAGCTGCTTTTAGCTACAGACATTTGTGACTTTTATAACTAGATAAGAAAGATAAAATTTAATTAATTTTAGTGTAAAATGGAAGAATCACATTCTGATTCCCATAGACACTCAGGCAGCCACTTTCAAAGAAAACTGACCAGGTTTGACTGAATCACCGGTACTCGAATTTCTAAGACGTTCTCGACACCTGACACTATTGTTCACTTTCTAGCTCGCTCACTGGCATCCAGCAATGGCTTAAGTATGTTTTGCTAAAAGCTAACTGCTGTAACTACAAATAAATATATTTGTGGGTCAAACACTAGGACGCGAGTTTTACAAAAACTTGAAGTTTTTGTAAATAATGGTCACATTTTAGAACCTGGTAATTAAATGGTAAACGAGATTAAAAGTTTTCATTATGTGTTTGAAAGTGGTTTTTTTTTTTTCTATCTTAACTCAGATCTTGACTAAAATAATACAGAATTGATTTAGTCAATGCTATTTGATTTCTTAGAACTATAGCGACTAGAACAGGATTTCCTGGTTTTTGAGAAAGCCGCAGAGATCAAACAACACATCTGGAGCCCCGGGCCTCATCTGCTGGGTGGTGGTGCAGTCATGCAGATTGCTTTATTAGTGCTTGGTTTCCACGGGTCTCCTTCTCTCTTTCCCTCATTGACTGGAGGAGTGCCTGGGACCCTCCGGGTTCTCCCCAGGACACCAAAGACTGTTCTCTCCATGGGCTTCTCTGTGTGTTTGTTTCGATTTTGTTTCTGATTTGTCCCATGTTGCTTTTCACGAAGAAAAACGTAAAGGAAACTTTTAGACAGAGCTTTTCTCTTTTCATCAAAAGAGTAAATGCTTCTCCTGATCCTTTGGAAATTTCCCCTTTCATGATACACTAAGCATTAAGTCACCCAATGTGAAGACTGTGGGATTTTAGCAAACGCGGTACCAGGGGGTTGCGTGCTCCTGGGATTCCCCAGTGCCAAGGGGAGCACACTGCCGGCTTGCGGTTCGTGCTGTGTGTCTTCAGAGGAAGTGGGCTCATTTATCTCTGATTCACTCTGTGTCTTTTTCCTGGTACAGTGTGAGCTCCAAGTAGACCACATCTCAGTACCGTGGCCAGTCAGAGACAGGGCTATCACCAAAATCCCATGGAAAGAGACGTCTACAGCTTGGGGCTGTTGATTGACTTTGCGTTTCTATCTCAATCCCAGCTCCCTGTCCTCAGCGCCAAAGCAGTCTGGGATTACAAACCGTGCAAAACTACACCTGGAAGTGGCGACAGGTATCCAACACGTGTCTAGTCTTTCCAAGAAGAAAAAAGCCAGATTAGGTTAACAATTGTTGACCTTTCCATTGCAGCGTAGTTATGACAAGGTGCCTGCATACACACCACTTTCGTGTCCCTGAAGCAGTGACCTCAGACTCCTGAAAAGTAGCTTCCTGTCCTTCATTTTTCTATGACCGGGTGGACTGGGATGCCTAGAGCATGGCCTAATCTAGACCCATCCCAAAACATCTCCACTCCAGAGGCGTGCATGGGTAAGTCTCAGATTCACCTTCGTTTTATTTCCAGGTGACACATGTTCCTACTGGGGGGAGGGGAGGTGGTGCATCCTGACCTGCAGCGTGTATTATGTCCACTCAAGATCAAAACAGTCATGTACTGAAATGGGACCCAGCATGAAATCCAGGTGCCCTACAAAGGATCTGGAGAGTTTTAGGTAAACAGCACACATTTACTGTCACCCCCTCTGAGCGCAGGGTAGGGGGGCGCTAGGAAGCTCGTCCCCATGGCCGCTCACCGCAGAGACAGGGAGACTGCATAGCACACAGCAGGGAAAGGGTCAGGCAGGGGGGGGGGCCCAGGGAGGGGGGGGCGTGATTAAGTTCTCCATGCAGCCTGAGGACCCATATAGGACAATTACGTCCTAAATCCAGTCCCCAGAGTATGGCAGATGCCAGACATTACAAGGACTATTTGTGTTTAAATTTGCTACTTTCAATAACAAAAATTGCTATAATGAAAATACTAAGGAAGTCCATTTGTTCTGACCTAGGGAGAAAAGTGCTGACACCAAGAACAGCCATATATTCCCAACATAAAGTGAAAATTTTCAGTCACAGCCATGATCAAATAGTTAATATCTATTGACCAAATCTTTTTTTTTTCTTTAATCTTCAGTTTACCATTTATATTCTCCTTCCACAGTCAGGAAGAACTACTGAAGACATAGACTCCTAGACAGATGATAATACAACCATCTTTAGAATTAAAAGTCATATTAAATAAGCCCAGAGGCTGGGCGCCTGGGTGGCTCAGTTGGTTAAGCGACTGCCTTTGGCTCAGGTCACGATCCTGGAGTCCCTGGATCGAGTCCCGCATCGGGCTCCCTGCTCGGCAGGGAGTCTGCTTCTCCCTCTGACCCTCCTCCCTCTCATGCTCTCTGTCTCTCATTCTCTCTGTCTCAAATAAATAAATAAAATATTAAAAAAAAAAATAAGCCCAGAGGCAAGCACCTCCATGCATAAATATTTCACATTTAGTTGATCATTAGAAAAGTGTGAAAAATATTATGTCTTCACCCTGACGAAATTATGGGAAGACATAAAATTTACTTGAACCTTTTAACCCTTGCCAAGATCTGACACAAAATGCAAAATCAAGGGCAAGCTGACGGTTTTTTTCTAGCTCACAAAGTTGCCAACGAGCACCGCAAAGTTTGCTAGCACATTTTGTGCTTATAATTTTAAGATCAAGTGTCTGGATCCCATGGTGGACCAAGGATTCATAGAGAGGAGGGAGCAAAATGGCCTAGGGATGGGCAGCCAGCAATGCATTGTCTGTGGAGAATTCAAAACGATGAGAAAGCCAGCTGAAAGTCAGTTCACCGTCTATTTTCCCATGAACAGGCAGCTACGTGTAATATCAGCGTGAAGTCCTTTATTAACAGGAGGGAAATCCTAACAGTTTATGAAACATTCACCCACATTATCACTTGCTGACAATCCTCAGTCGCTTAAATACACATAGAAAATCTCCCTTCACACAAACAAATGTAAAATAATACTAGATCAGAGGTTATGCAACATGTTGATTGTTCTCCCCACTGTAGTTCAGGCTCGGGTGATACATTGTTGGAAGGCCCAGAGTAGAAATTTGAGCAGGTGCCTCCAGAATTGAAAGGAAACCTGCCACTCTGTAATTGACTATATTCAGTATTTCGAGTGAACTTGGTTTTGAATACATTACTCGAAATATTGCCACAATGCTCTTCTCGGCTTCATTGGTAAGAATAACTTTTGAGGAACTTCAACCACCAGGATTGGAAGGCATGACACTTTCTACGGTAACATCGTTGAAAATTATGAGGTTAAGGCAAGTCACAAACATTTTTGAAGTGCTAATTTTTGCAATGGACTCATTCGCTGTAATATGAGCAAACACACGCCCTTGTAGTTTCAACGTGAAAAATGAAAGGACCGTGCAACATGCCAGGCGTGCCATTGTGAGCCTGATGAGAAAGCAGACAAAGAAACCCATCACAGAGAGACGATGGGCCCAAGCAGCCTCTTGCAGAGAGCACACATCGGAATACATCCTGTGGTACTTCATCTAATGCATGCATGGACTCAGAGCCTTACCTGTAAATACTCATGGCCATGACATGCTGCATGCAGACAGACATAAAACTCGAGAGATGGACCGGTCTGTGGAGAACGAGCTGTTGTTGCTGCTGAGAAACGAGAAAGAAGAGATAGAAATAGGGGTGGACTACGCAGGTAAAACAAGGCTCACGCTCAGTCCCGTGCTCCGGAATGTTCCTTCTTCTAGTGTCAAAGTGCCAGCCCCTTTTTCAGATAGAAATGCTCTCTATCCCCATGCAGAGGAAGGAAGTGGATCACCGAGCAAATGCTTCTACACACACACACACACACACACACACACGGAATCTACCTTGAATTTTATAGAGTCACTGTCGTTCAGAATGTTTCAGAAACACCTGCTGTATGTCAGGCTGTGTGCTGGGCACCCAAGAGAGGCGAACAGAGGGAGGCCCTAGGAAATGGGCTGGCCCAGGCCCTACCCCCGGGTCAGCCTGCCTGTGGCCCAAACAGCTCCCCACCCCCACCCCACCCCCGGTAACTCTGACGCCCGTGGTTTCGAGCTCCAGTTAACACAGAACGGCAAACTCACATCACCCAAGGCTGTTGAAAACACTTGACTTCTCCGTCAGGGGGATGCTCTTCTGCACCGGTAGTCCCCAGACTCTGTGGCGAAGGACCAGCTCAGATTGCGTTTGGTTGCTAGTTACTGGTTTTAAAAATCCCTGGCCTGCTAATTTTATAAATTAGAAGAATCAAATTACAAAAAGAAATGCATACAAAATGCAAGCCAAGCTTTTTACTATTACATTCGCTGACCTAGAATCACTCTGTCAAATTACTATAAAACTTTCTGAGAGCTACGGGTCTGGTTCTGTGCTGAGCGTGTGACACACTAGTCACAAAGCGCTCGCAGACAGCCCTGGGGCGCACATCACCCGCTAAGTGGCCCCACTCTAGACTCCAAAAGAGGATTGATTTGTGGATCAATGTACGTCTAAAAACAAGGTAGTAGGAGGCTTAATTTTAATTGCCGGCAATAAAGTGGAAAAATGCCTGGCACATAATAAGCATGTGACAAATATCTGCTGGATGAATGAATAAACAGATAAATGAGCTGTCCGTGGCAGCCTGGGGGGAGAGGAGTATAGAGAGGGAAGGAAATCCCCCCTCAGAGAAGGTGCCGGGAGAGGCGAGGACGCCCAACACACACATGGGAGTGCAGACACGGTACTGTCAATAAAATGAAGATGCAAAAATTGCGAACATTCAGAGATTAATCCAATGAAACGTAACAGAGGAAAGTGCAGATTCACTGCGTCTGGAAGAAAGTGAACCGCACCCCAACGAGACCATGAAAAAAAGGACACAAGGCTCACGGCGTTATCTATTGACAGTGAGATGAACATGGGATGAAGCTGCCCATCCCAATTTCACCAGAACAAGAAATACAGCAGCCCTAAAACATTCAGTTCAGGCTGAACCATTTTACAGAGATTTTGACAGAGAGCTTACGTGGGCAGGCGTGAGAGCAGCCAGGATTTGGAAATGCAGGGACGGAGATCAATCCTGGCCGGGGTGCAGGCCGGGGTGGGGGGAAGGGGCTCTCCTCTGATAGTTCTTGGTCATGTCACGTGGAGAAGGTACTAGGTCTATGTTCTTGATGGCGGAGGGAGAAGAGAAGGCTGGACATATCTAACCTGTCGTGAGGTTTTAATGTCAATAGAAGGAAATACTTTTTAATCATAAAATTGGTCTACAACTAAAGTGAAACATCACCTTTGGAAGTGGTGAGCTTTTCCCCATCACTTTGTATTCAAGATAAATTGGGTGAACCTATATCAGAATGTTGTAGAGAAGGATCCTAAATTGAGCAGAAACCAGCATACTTATTAGGAAGTTCTCCATGATGGAGGCCAGTCTTCCATTAAGGAAATATTTACTGAGCACCTGCCATGGGCCATCATGGTTCTGGGGGCACCACAGGGGAGAGCAAACAGTTCCTCGTGTCTGAGCTCCTTTTCTGCCAGGCACATAATGAACATGATTTGCTTTTTGACTGTCAAATCAGTGGTTCTGTTCACACCAGCAAGACCATTCTCAGAGGGGGGCGCCTGGGTGGCTCAGTCGTTAAGCGTCTGCCTTCGGCTCAGGTCATGATCCCAGGTTCTGGGATCGAGCCCCGCATCGGGCTCTCTGCTCGGCAGGAAGCCTGCTTCTCCCTCTCCCACTCCCCCTGCTTGTGTTCCCTCTCTCGCTGTGTCTCTCTCTGTCAAATAAATAAATAAAATCTTTAAAAAAAAAAAAAGACCATTCTCAGAGGCAGGATATGTGGAAAGAGGAATTTCTAAATGACAAAGTCCTTTTTTCATGTGTTAGAGAGCAGGTGTTATTCGTGGAGATGGATCCTTCCTGAGGGAGAGGGAGAGGAAAAGCTTCTTGTCTCCATGCCTGTGGAAAGTTCAGGGGATATCATGAATTTGTTTGATGTCAAATTCTTGAATGACCTTTTCCCTTGATGACAAGTAAAAGTGACTTTGGATGTGTCCAGGGAGTGTGGAGCCTCTGAGGACACAGGCTATTGACAAACGTTCCCTGGGAGGCTGCAGACGATAACCTGCCGTGTCGCTGACCTCATAGCTTCCCTGCGGCCAAGCCAGCCAGACATCACTTACGGCTGTGTTCCTGTTGTGCTCACGCTCACACACCAAGTTTCAGAATGGGGAAATCGCATGTCTGTTATGGGGCAAGCGATGAGAGGTGGCATATGTGAACAATGAACGTTTCGCTGACAAAACCGACTCACCTGACAGAATTCAAAATGACAAAGTCAGATATGAAAAAGAATATTTGGAACACATAAAGAATCAGAAAACCTAAATTTTTTAAAAAGTGACCAATACTAAAACCTCCAGAAAAAGAATATAATATTTTTATTAATGAACTATCTGACACATTTCCAATTCTGCTCTTCATACCTTTTTCTTCAATGTTCTTTGATCACTTCTTCATGTGGTGATGAATAATAAATATTTCTCTCTAAAGAAAATAGATAATTCAGTCCTTCCTCTAGCACAGTCGGTCAAAATGTTTTTTATTAGTATTGATTGGTGGGAAAGTTTCTTTCATCTTCATAACTTGCTGAAGACTGTAGTGTCTCAAAGGTATATCAAATCACTCAAGACTCAAAGCAAGGGGAAAGAAATCTGGTCCTACCAATACGTCGAGATTCAAAGTATCTCCAAGTGGATAAATGGCATTTCTAATGCAGATGCAACAGAGTTCTTGAGGTCCACTGAAAAGACTGTGGCACAAAGATACAGATGTAGTGAAAAGAAGGACCATATGCACCCCAATGTTCATAGCAGCAATGTCCGCAATAGCCAAACTGTGGAAAGAGCCGAGATGCCCTTCAAAAGATGAATGGAGAGAGAAGATGTGGTCCATATATACAATGGAATATTACTCAGCCATCAGAAAGGATGAATACCCAACTTTTACAACAACATGGATGGAGCTGGAGGGGATCATGCTAAGTGAAATAAGTCAAGCAGAGAAAGTCAATTATCATATGGTTTCACTTATTCGTGGAACATAAGGAGTAGCATGGAGGACATTAGGGGAAGGAAGGGAAAACTGAAGGGGGGGAACCAGAGGGGGACAGGAACCATGAGAGAATATGGACTCCGAGAAACAAACTAAGGGTTCTAGAGGGGAAGGGGGTGGGGGGTTGGGTGAGCCCAGTGATGAGTATTAAGGAGGGCACATTTGTAATGAGCACCGGATGTTATACACAAACAATGAATCATGGAACACTGCATCAAAAAAAAAAAAAAAAATAGAATGGACGCCTGGGTGGCTCAGTTGGTTAAGCAACTGCCTTCAGCTCAGGTCATGATCCTGGAGTCCCTGGATCGAGTCCCACATCAGCCTCCCTGCTTAGCAGGGAGTCTGCTTCTCCCTCTGACTGTCCCCCCTTTGTGCTCTCTCTCTCTCATTCTCTCTCTCTCAAATAAATAAATAAAATCTTTAAAAAAAAAATAGAATCTGTGGCTTGAAGACTAGTCGGTCACTGGGCTGCCATCAATAACCTGGTGAACAGCACTGGGTCAGCTGGTGCAGACTGGAGGAGAAGGCTACAGCTAGTGTGAGTTCTGTACTTGAACAAGTCTAGTGGGAAAATTGGCCACGTGCAACGCCAGCCAGAACAGATGCCGCCATTGGGCTCAGATTCTGTGCCCTCACCAAAGTCTCCTCTGGGGGCTTATCTGAGTTCTATATTTTGTATGAAATTACTTCCTCAGTAGAGTTGCCAAGTGCAGAAAGCTTAGATTCTCATCATTTATGCAAATACCTCATTTCACCCTTTTCTTAGAATCTTCAAGGATGAGTTACGTTCGGGGGCTTAAGACCGTGGTGCAACGGTTCCAAGTGCATAAACCATCAGCATTATTTGTACGTCATCCTCCACAGCTTGGAAAGTTCAGGGTGCCTCTGACTCGTACCAGCGAAGTCAGAAAAGAAATGCTCTTCCCCGTTTTCACACAACAGGACTGTGTTTCTGCGGGGATTGTCTCGCACCAGCTATACAAGTTTCTCTTAGACCCTGTGCTCTGTGTCCTGTAAGTCCTGTGATCTTCTCGACAACATATGTTGGCTTCACCCCCTTTCCTTGTCCAACAGTTTGGATGACAGTTATACACCACAAGCTCCTAGATGCATATATATTTGTGTTTCGGGCATATTCTTAACACTGGGTACTTTGCAGGATTGAACCCTTTGCAAAGCCCTTTTTCATGATCTCATGACTATTTTCTTCCATTATCTCTTTCATTTTTGTCTTCTCAATCTTGATCAGATTTCCATTCAAAACAGATAGGTGTCTGAAACCTTTCTGTATTTCAAAACACCTTGATAAAAATACTTAATTTGTGGTTTTTATGCAAATAGTAACTGTTTCCAAACATGAATAGTCAAATATCAGTTCCCAAATTGTTTCCAAATCCAAGGTTCAGGCTGTGCTGTTCAGGAAATATGTGCCAAGTTAACCCAATTGATTTTGTTATGCAGCACATTAGTGCATCAGATGTGCTGCTGAAAATGCTTTCTGGGTCCACTCAGAATTTCAAATTCT